CTATAATAAGAACAAAATCCTAGAAAACTTCGAATTTGTTTCCTATTCTGAGGAACAGGCCAATTTCTGACGGCAGAAATCTTCTCAGGATCCGTCGTAATTCCATGTTCAGAGATAACATGACCAAGATATTTTACTTCTCTTCCAAAAAGCGAACACTTCTTAGGGTTCAATTTCAAATTTGCTGAGCGAAAGCGAAGAAAGACTTTCCTCAAATTTTCCATCATCCCCTCGAATGTTTCACTGAAAACAATCACATCGTCAAGATAAACTAAACAGATCTTCGATAAAACATCTTGAAGAACTTTCTCCATCAACCGTTCAAAAGTAGCGGGGGCATTGCAAAGTCCAAATGGCATGACAGTAAATTGCCATAATCCATTTCCCACAGAGAAAGCCGTCTTCTCCTTGTCTTTGGAGTCCAGCTTTACTTGCCAATACCCGCTCTTCAGATCCAGAGTAGAGAACCAAGAATTTCCTGAAAGTTGATCCAAAATATCTTCAATTCGAGGCAATGGATATGAATCTTTCACCGTGACAGAATTCAGCTTCCTATAGTCGACGCAAAATCTTAATGATCCATCTTTTTTCTTTACCATTACGACAGGAGAGACCCACGGACTTTTAGATTCTTCAATAACTCCCTGAGACTTCATTTCTTTAATGATTTTATTGACTTCCTCTCTTAAATGAATCGGAACTCTACGTGGAGCTTGTTTAATCGGCCTAGAATCCGTAACCTTAATATCGTGTTTTAAAATTCCACAGTTCCCTGCAATCAAATCCTGAGAAAATACATCCTGAAATTCTAATAAGAAATTGGCAAAAATATCTTTTTGAGAGGAATTCAAATTTTTAGAATTTTCCCCGAAAAATGTCTCAAGAAAATCAGGGACTTTCCCTTTAATAATTCGAAAACAAGAAAATTCATTTTTATTATTCTCTTCAATATTTCCAAATTGGGATTCAAAAACTTTTTCTAAATTTATTTTTTCAAGAAAATCTATCCCAAGAATGCAATCATCAGAAATGTTAGCAACAATTATAGGAATCTCTACTTCATGCTTTCCTAATTCAATCAAAACGTTAACTTTATATTTTACTCCAATTAATTCCCCTGTAGGATATTTAAGATAACAATTGTTTATTTCCAAATATTCTTTCGATTCTTTCAAAAATCCCTCTCTAAGAATAGAAACATCGGAACCCGTATCTATTTTAAATCGACAAATCTTTCCGTCCAATTTTCCTTTATAATAAAAATTATTTCTAGTTCTACTTATTCTAGCACATTGTAAAACATTTGGGGCTATCACGCAATTAGCCGAACCTGCCCCGCGAAGTTCGACTAAACCTTGTTTTCCGTAAATGACGGACATTCAGAACGGAAGTGCCCCTCAGCGCCGCAATGCCAACATTCCTTTTTCGCCTTCGGACCGTTCCTTTGAAAATATTTATTATTATACGACTTCCCTTTCTCGTTATGTTTCTCTTTTGTTTCCTCGTTTTTCTCTTTGTTCTCTAATTTATTAAATTTATTAAATTTATTATATTTATTATATTTGTTATATTTTTCAAAATTTTGATTCGGGAAATTTTTATTTTTTTGAAAACTATTTTCTTGAATAACTTTTACTGCCATTGCTCTCTCTATGGCAGATTTTAATGAAATAACGCTTTCTAATTGAAGAGTTCTCTTCAAAAAGCCGTCTGATATTGCAGTAATAAATTGTGCGCAAGCAATTTTATCTCTAACTTCATGAGAACACTCAGGATAGGCTAATCGCGACAATCTGTCTAAATCCGCGCCAAGAGAAGCCAAATCTTCCGAACTCTTTTGTCTACGATTCGTAAATTGCGCGTAATAAGACTGAGCCGAATGCCCTTCACCGAAACGTAATTCTAATTTTGACTTTAAATCCGCGAACTCTAAATTTTCAATCTCCGAAATTCCATCCAAAACGGTCCGCGCTTTCCCTCTTAAACAAGCGGCAAGAGCCAAGGTCTTTTGAAACGAATTCCAACCATTAGCTCGCGCTATAAAATCGAACTGGGCAATAAATTCGCGCAAGGGTACACTCCCGTCAAAATTCTCGGGTTTGAGCTTATATCCGAGCTCAAAATTATTGTGTAAAACATTGTTCGATTCGCTATTTCTACGTGTGGTGTTGTTCGGAATTCTATTATGTGTGTGACTTAGCTGGTTATTTTCCGATGAGGCGAGTCTTTCCTGTAATCGGTGCAGTTCCTCGTCCCGCTGTTGCAGCATCGTCAAAAATTGAGCCTGCTGTTGTGAGCGTTCCTCTCGCAATTCTCTAATTTGTTCCAACGCCTCCTGTAAAGCGTCCACGCGCTCGGGAGTTTCCTCGCTGTTAATCGCTCGAAGTGGAGTCGACTGTTGTTCTTCGCCGATCATTGCTCGTGACGAAGCTTGCGAACGAGTAATCCTCGGAGAATGCACCAAAGACATCGTAACCTTTTCACCGCACACACACACGAAATATTTGTCCTTTTTTTACTACGGTTCGTGGCTCGTGTTACGTCCGAACGATCCCGGACGAGCCCCCAAAATGTTACGTCCGCGACCACCCTTCTGATTATCTCGAAGAAATGTCGCGCGCACTCAAACTCTCACACGCCGGAAATGAATACACTCGCGTAGTAAAGCAATAAACTTTAATATTAGAAGCCAATAAACCGTAGCGATACAATATAATATTACGTGCATTAATCTTAATGCAAATATATCCGCCGATCAGCTGTCAGAGGATACGTCCTCACCGCACGACAGCTAGACCAGAACAAAACGCATCGATAGACATAAACAGCTTCTTAGCGACGATAGAAGATCCTGATAGAAGACCCTGATAGAAGACCCTGATAGAAGACCCTGATAGAAAATCCTGACGATCGTATAATACAGGGATGTATCGTCAAACGGGTGGGACACGGACATAACAATATGTTTCGTTTAATATTGTTGGACTTTCATAGTTAGGTACTGTGTTTGTTAAATATTTCTATGGAATATATATGTTATTGTTGAATGTAAAAAAAACATGTTTTTTTGTCCAAAACACTTTTTTGAAAATCGAGGGTTTCATAAAAATGCATTACCTGATAAATTCTTCGAGCTTCAAAGGGATTCTATTGCAGTTGAAAAAAAGTTTGTTTAAAAAAAATATAAGTCAAAATATTTTGTCAAAAATATATATATTTAAAATTTCTCAGAATTTTTAAAGTATACCGTACAATATATAAAAATAAATTATATGTCGATAAAAAATCAATGATTTTGTAATAAAAAATTTATTAAGAATTAACGGTGAATAAAATATATTTGTTACTTTTCTACTATATTTAATTATATTAATCAATATAAACAATAAAGTAATAGAAATTGTGTTTCCTTTTAGGAATAGTAAATAAAAATTCTTCGATCTAGCTGCGTAAAGACAAAAACGATACACGTTTTGAACATTTCCTAACTATTGTATTGTTTTATTTTTGCATGTTCATGGATTAATATAGTTTTATAAGAGCTAAATGTTTTATTTTCTTATTGAAGCCGCCAAAATTTCCTTTAGTGTTTTCCATATTAACCCGAACAGAAGCTTTTTAGAAAGTTTTATTGCAATCGGAGGTAAAACCTTTTTCAATACTACATTTAGTTATTCTTTTCTTCTTCTGAAAAATCAAAATCGTAAATTACATAATCGCTGAAATTTCATATTTTGTGTAATAATGCGACGAGTGATTAGAAATATATAACATTTTTTTTACCTTCTGTTCTTTAATACTAATACCATAATATATCTTAATGTTGTGTGATACTTATTAAAGGTTTGTTATAAATTATGCTATTTCCGTAAAGTATATCTCTTCAAATTTTATTTTCCCAAACTATTATAATATAAAAGCAGTAATAAAATCGATGACACTCATGTTACAGTGTCATCGTGTTCTTGTCGTTAGTTTGAAAAACGTATATAATATTAAACTTACTCTGTATAGCTATAAAATATTTTAACAGTGAGAGATATTTTGTATTTGAATTAGAAATTAGAATTAACAATATATTTGCGGTATATATCTTTGTCTTTTTTTAGAAATTATCTGAAAAGTGACGAAAATATGCTACCTGTCAGGTAAAACTAACCGAGAAGAAACCCGGGACGTAACAATATAAATAAAACCGTATATAATATAATATTTTTAATAATCCTAAGATAGCATAAAATCCTAATGCGCGTCAATTTAAGAACACAATTATGACGTGTATCAGTTAAATCTAGCAAAACCTTATTCATAGTTTGTTATGATAACTACCAAAATAGTAATATCATTCGAATATTAATAGGATTATTAATAAGAAGATATTAATAAGAAATTTAGTATTAATAATTTTTTTTAATTAATATTAATAAATATTATAAATTATAACTAATATTTAATTAATATTAATTAATATTATAAATTACATTATACAATATTTTCTGAAGAGTATTATATTAATTATATTATGCAATATATTTTCGAGAATATAGGAAACTTTTATAAATAAAACTTTTATTAAATATTATTATAATATAAATATTCAAATATTATTAAATATTATTTTAAAACTTTTATACCAAATATTATATTATAATACTACATATTGTATATAATTATAAACTGTTTAGATTATATAATAATTTTAAATAATAATAGTTTTATATCATATGTTTATATTATATAAATATTAAATTTCGAAGTAAAAAATATAACTGCAAAATATTATAATAAATTAATTATTATTAAATGAGATTTATGGAAAATTATAGATTATGAAATACTAATTTTTGAGAAATGAGCAATAAAATATATAACGTATATATTATATGTTTATCATGATTTGTAAAATTAATATTAGATATATTTTTCATTCGAATATCACTTTTCTTTCTATGTGCAATAAAAAGGACTTTGGAGAAATGGTTATTAAACGACAACATATCTACAAGAACATAAAAATTTTATTATGGTCCATAATATCAGGTATAACAGTTACACTTACTTTACGGAAAATTGAATATCGGAATATTTACGCTATAGAGTACGTATAAGATCTCTCATGTGTTTATACGAATATCATAATTATTTTTTTATTATGCTCGATGACTCTCAATCGAATAAAGCATATTATGGAAATCGATCTATCTCGTTACGTAATAATTACGAAGCGCTTTTTGCGGCAATATATTGTTGAATTTATCAACAGAAAAATACATCGACAACACTGGACGGACTATACACACTCGTATTATAGTAAATCAGCATTAATCAAGCTAACGAATAAAATGTCTTAGCGAGTCTACGATCGATCTTAAACGTATAACGTAATTTAATTCGCTAAAATTCGCTGCGCGTATTTACAGAACTAATTACGACGAACAAGAGTACACAGGTATATTATACATATGGATATTATCCGCGCGATTTTCGATAAAAACGCCGATAATACATGTGAATGAAATGAATTTCAAACACATACGATTAAACGCTTTCAAAATTTAAAAAAAAACTAGGCTTCCAGTCTAAAACACTAAGAAGCTAAGGAATTCCAATAAATTGTATTTCTTAATTATCTGAATTATATTTGATCGTTTATAATTGATTTTTCAGTCATTTTCTTCATATAATTTTTACGGGAAAGAAACAGGAAGATAGGTAACCAGTATACATATACTTCCTAACATGATTATTAAATACTGCATTTCTTTTTATTACAATAACAGCACAATAATCTATATTTTAATCGATCATTAATGAGGACACATATTTACATGACTGTGTGTTTAAAGTCGCAATTTCTTAGTCAGATCTTGAATTTTTCTTTGATTAATTCTAGTAAAAAGAAATTTACATTATCTCATCGCGGAATTAAAATCATACAACAGATCTTAACATTGAATAAATGCAAGATTTCTGGCAGAGGTTTCGAAATATTCAAAAATGTATGTGCATTGAATCATGCAAAACCTTATTCTCTCTCACTCTGTCTTTCTCTCTTTCTAAATATGTAACGAAGATATATATGTAGATCTATATATATATATATATATATATATATATATATATATATATATATATATATATATATTAAGAAATAAATATCGTAAGAGAACACAAAAGTATACTTTCCGAGTAGTAACAGACGTACATACATGCTCATCAGGCACACGGGAGAAGAACAATAAGAAACGTCCTAATTTCGGAGGAGAGGATTCAAACACTGGAAATTATTAGCGTCTCGCGACTCCGATTAACGAGATCCATCGTTTCATCATCTACATTACAAGTAGAAAGTTATAATTTCTCAGAAAGGGGCAGCGCGAATCGCTAACCAGAGTCTTGATCCTTAAAAACACAATCAGCAAGCTTAGAAACTCGCCGCGACCTTTCTCTCTCTCACTCTCTCTCTCTCTCTCTCTCTCTCAGTCTATATCACAGAAACGGAACTCTCCATTTCACTCGCAGTCTTCTTCTCGTCGCGATTGCTGCCGTCGTTGTCGTCGGTTTGCACGACGTGGACTAGAGACGCGTCCTTATTCGATAGGATCAAGGAGTCCTGGCCGATAGGCGCGGCGGCCTCGACTAGATTCTCAACGGACGCCGCCGTCGTCGGCTCTTCGTGGCAGAAGCTCCTGCGCAGGGACTGCTGCGTCCTCGCGGTGCCCCTGCGAATGCTGCTGCGCAGCAGGTTCGCCACGTCGGCGGCCGTCAGGGTCGAGCCGGACAGGGTGGCCGGGTTGCTCCCGGCAACGACGTTGCTCGCACGACGACGGTCTCCCCGGTCGACCAGGGTCGACGACTGGGTCCGCTCGATCGCGCGCGACCTGTCGATCGCGATCCCGATCCGGCTGGCGCGGTCGATGGTGTTCGGCCTGACGCGTTGACGCTCGACCGACGAGACGAGGACGGTGTCCTGTTGCTGGTGTCCGCGACCACGCCCGATATTGGTCACGTCCGGCCGTGGCTCCAAAGGCACGTGGATCGCGACTTGGTCGCGCGAGATCGCTGTCCTGCCGCTCTGGTTCATCTCCACCAGGACGGTCGCGTAATCAGGCGGCGGTGGCGGAGGAGGTTGCTGCAACGCGGGTCTCTGCCGCGGCGCGCTGCCCTCTCCGAGGACGTTCGCGAGCCTCCGCACGCTTCGCCGGAAGCTCTGGCGCAGCATCTTCGCGATCCTCGCGCCGGTCGCCGTGGTGTAGCTCGGCGGCGGCGTGTACTTGGGCGGCGGATCCTCGAACGGGATCTCCGTGGTCGCCGAGGGAAGGATCCCGTTGCCGTGCAAGCCCCCGGTGCTCTGGTCGTTCCCAATCTGGGTCTGCGCGTCCCGAGGATCCTCCGGCTCCAACGGTGGTCGGTAGAGTAATTGAATTCTCTGTGAAAAATGAAACCGAATTGTTATACCCATCTTGTATAGGAAACGTTATGTAATATTGTCTCGTTTTAATTGATTATCCCTAATTTTTTTTTATTTTTGATTATACAACAAAATGTTTTGAACAAAAGTTGTTTGATTTTGAAGAGGGCAAAAGATGGTACTACTGACTTTTTAATTGTTTTTTTAAATGTTTATATGAAAAAAATATATTCCGTGAATGATTCCATTTAAAAAAACAAATGATCTTGACGAAACATCCTTTAGAAAAAGTCTATAGCATCTTCTATCTCCCTTCAAATCCAACAACTTTTGTTTAAAACACTTTTTGTACTAATTAAAAATGAAAGTTTTTAGGGCGCTCCATCTAAATGGGACACCATGTATAATAATGTGCATCAGTTTTGTGATACACGTACTAAATATGAGATGATACTAGATGATATCCAACTTACTCCGTTACACTGTTCACAGTGATTTACTGTTACTTCCACTTGTTCGTTCTAATCGTCAGCACAAACAGAAATATAGAGGTTGCATGAAAGATGAGTTAGTTTCTGACTTTCAGACACAATAGAAAAAAATTCTTACAATTTTCTATTTTTTTTTTATTTCGCGCAGGTCTATGATCCGTTTTCCCAATCGAAAAGTAGGTCGTAAGGTTGTAAATAATACTTACGTCGAATATATCGGGTGGCCCAGTGTTGAGATATCGACACGTCTGGATGATAGCGACTGCCGGTATCATCAGTATCGGTATTAGCTGAATCGCCGTGCCGAGTTGCCTTGCCCAAACGGCCCAATAATCTCTGGATGTACGACGATAAGAGTACAACTCCCGGAAGCCGCTGCTCTTAAATATCGTAATGCTGAGAACCTAAAGACGTCGCAAGATAACGATGACCAAACCGTTTACTGTTTTATGAACCGACCCAGCAAACACCGATATATAATTGTTACATTGCTATAATAAAACAGAATATAACAGATAATATAACGTGTACGTTACATGTAACATCCATGTTAGTTGTAATTTCCCACTCATAGATGTAACATTTTAATATAACATATATTACATTGTAGTTATGTTGTAATTATATACCAAATAGCACATTGATGTATTGATAAATAATCAGTGCTATCTTGGGATATAATGACAATATAAACTATAATGTAATATATGTAATATTAAAAATGTTACATCTATGAGTGGGAAATTACAACTAACATATACGTTACATGTAACATGCTTGAGTATATAACATTTATATACTGTGTTTGCTGGGGACATTTCTAGATAATAATTGCATTTTTACCATCAGAGTGACGGGGAGAACGACGTTCCAAATGAAAGATAGCAAAGGACCGGCCCAGTATCTGAGGCAACGTCCGGTCGGCGGAAATAATTCGGCGACGACCGCCTCGCCGGTGTGCGGACGTCCGCGAACCGCGAACACGGCGCCAACTTGCATCAGGTATAGGACGATTATCCACCACACCCCACCGACGGTGTAATCCAGATAGTAGACGACGTAGATGCCCAGCTGTAAGCATAAGAACAAGAGATAACTTGTAACTCTTCATCATTAGAATTGTATACATGTGCAAGTTACAATTTATAATGATCGCACATCATCATGAATATTTTCATCCTAATAGCATAACATATCCAAAAGATATTCAGAGGATATCCAGAGGACATTCGAACATCCTCAGGATGTTCTCTAAACGTCATCGGGATATGTGTGTTGTTAGGGCACAGTATATCCTCATCCCAGCAAACACCAATATATAATTGTTACATTGCTATAATAAAACGGAATATAACAGGTAATATAACGTGTACGTTACATGTAACATCCATGTTAGTTGTAATTTCCCACTCATAGATGTAGCATTTTAATATAACATATATTACATTGTAGTTATATTGTAATTATATACCAAATAGCACATTGATGTATTGATAAGTCAGTGCTATCTTGGGATATAATGACAATATAACTACAATGTAATATATGTAATATTAAAAATGTTACATCTATGAGTGGGAAATTACAACTAACATATACGTTACATGTAACATGCTTAAGTATATAACATTTATATATTGTGTTTGCTGGGATCATAATTAATACCGTTTATCGTTATCATCGGCCTTTATCGTCATTAATATCGTTAGAAGTGTGTTAATATAATTATTGAGCTGTCAGTGACATCATCGAGACACTTGTTCTTATATCCTTCACTTGCACGTCCAAGAACATGACGTCATTCTTGATGTAACCGGGGTATCTGTTTAACGTGGTGTGCGGAACGAACATGTACAGTCCGGATTCTTTATCAGGCTCGTTAGAGTCGTCTCTATCTCGGCCTACGGTCTTCACGATCTTTCTGACGTCTCTCGCAGGATTATCCTGATTTCGAAGGACCACGACGGCTCGGAGTACACATGGCCAGTCCAGCAGGGGATCCCACTTGCCATTCTCCACCCGCAGGCATCCGATAATATGACGATCCTTCCACTGTCCTTTGCCATTCAGAAATAACTCCATCCTCAGAGTGTAACCGTACTCCTTATCGTAGAATATAGGGCTGTAAAGGGCGTGATCCTTCTCTCTCGCCTCTGTCATCTTCTCCTTATAACGATCGATTCGCCAAATAATGCGACCATTCGTGGAGGCACTTTCCGCGCAGGAACAAGAGGAAGCAGAGCTCGGCAAGGAAGGTACTTCCGGTTTGCAGCTCTCTGCGATCAATTCCTCGATGTACCTCAGGTTCTCCCTCATCTGAAATTTGAGACTCTTCAGGTCCGACTTCTGCTTGACCGAGTTTTCGGAACACTTGGCAATTTCATTCGCGAACTGCTCGAATTTTCTAGATAAGGTATCGTACTGGGACGTCAGGTCCTTCGAATCCTTACACCTCATTTCTAACTCCAGTTTCAAATCGTTGACACGCTGAGAATGTTCCTGCCAGAAATCGCTCGCGCGTACGCTCTCCTTGGCAACGAACGTCTTTAGCTCCTTCAATTCTTTCAACCAATCCCTCGATACACCCTTGTCCTGTTTGCTGTCCGTCGATCCACCCTCGAGTAGCTTCAACCGATCGGATATCTGCCGAAAGTTCAAATCCACGCGACGTTGTATGTCGCCGGCGTTCATCTCCAAGTAGTTTAGTCTCAGATTCAGTATCGTGTCGTTTCCGCGAAATTCCTCGATTGCTTCCGCGACAGTCGACTGCAACGCGACGACGGACTTCTGGTGGGAGTGCAGTAGACTCAGGTTCCTAGCGAGATCATCCTGCAGACGAAGCCGCTCCTTCTCTCCCTGATCGATCGCCAGACGCAGCAACGTCAACACCGAGAAGACCTTTTCCTTCCACACTGAGTCCTGTAGATCCCTCATCTGATTGTTTCTCCTCGACATCTTCCGGTCGCAAGATCTTCGATGTTCCTCCAGGTTTCCGCGGGAGACGTAAACCCCGCATCTGTTGGGACACTCTTCCAGGACCGACGCGCACTGCGTGATGTGCTCCGTCAGGAATTTCTCTTCCAAGAAGTCATTGCAGAAGTAGCAGGGTACGCTGCGACGAACTATCGCGTGAACGTTATTGCTCATCTTTCGTTTCAAAAGCTCTCGTTATACTGCGCGTACAACTCGAAGCTCTTGCTGATAACAGGTCACTAAGCAAACGAAAGATTGCGCGCCCTATCTGATAAAGGCAGATTCGAATGATATGAGATATAAAATGCGTAGTTATTAGACACTTGTATGGATCGCGTGTAAATTAATCAAATCTGTGTACATGTATACTTGTAATTAATAAAATATTTAAATATTTACTTGTGACAAGTATTTTATTTTATCAATTAATACATTTAGATAAGACGCAGAGATTAATCATTAATTTATTTATATTGAGAAATTCCGACATACCTCCGTAGCCATAGGTAACCCAAGTATGTAGGCACAAGCGCAGCTGAAAAACGTTATGGTGGTCTCCCAGAGCTTCATCATCTTTGTATTAATTGCCATTATACCGGTTATCACGCAGTGCCAAATCGCCAACTGAAATTAATTAAAGAATACTCTTTTATATTACTAAAAACTAGGTTGTCCTTCAAATAAACCTTGAAAAATTATCTTTAATCAAAATTTAAGATTATCTTTTTCTTCCTTAAAATCTTTCTTCCTCAACTTTTCCATTATATATTTTTTCGTTACAATAATATTCAACTGTTTATTAATTAAAATAAAACACCCCAGATAGCAAGCATATACGTCATTAGACGTTTTATAACATCAGTTTGCTATTTGAGACCTTGTGCAAGATGATAAAGCTATGATACATGATTAGATAGGTAGTTATTCGCAGTTTCTTATCGCGAGGAAAGCTGCGAGAAACTATGCGTACCTGTTGCGCGATTCCAAATAAGATGAGGATAAAATAAAACAGGACCGCCCAGAACGGCGACACCTGTTCAGTGCCCAGCAACGCCAGTGTCGCGGGCACCAGTTCAGTGGCCAGTCGCAACACCTGGTATCCGGACTCGATGCTCGTGTCCGCGCCGGGTCGTATTACGCGTTGACCAAGGAGAAAGGACGCGTGGGACATGAACCTCTCCGGGGTGCTGCTGTAGCCCGACGGTGCCGGTTTATTGGCGAGCCTCAAGAACGTGTATCCTGATATTCTCTCTGTGAAATTGTCCCGAAAAATATAACGCGTTGAGTTATCCAGTTAAGAAATGGGATATCAAGTATTTAAAAATCAGAGTCGAATTGAATAATCAATAAGCCAATAAGCTTCAAATACCAACTCATAAAAAGAATTAATAAGAGTTAGACGCAAATTTTTAAATTCCTTTTTAATTACTTTAAACATTTCAATCTGCTGAAGATGATCCTTTACGGGTTCTAATTTACTTAAAAATACTGTTCTTTTTTTCTAAATAATCATAGAAAGTTCGAAACCATTGCGAATAACCTACTAAGGATACTTAATATCATTACTGGAGATATATACAAAACGGCTGTACTTACCAAAGGAACTAGTGGTGTAGATGTAACCTTGATGCCTGAGAATGTGTACGCAGGTATTCGCTAATAGAGCCCCGAGTAGAAGCACCAAAAATGTCAGAATCACTACGAGAGTCGTGTCTCGCTGTAGGAAATTCTTGTGCTTGTTGTGAGCCGCTATCTGAAATTGGCAGATAAAGAATAAAGAACCCAATTGCGCAAAAAAAAAAAATTATAAAATTGAATGGAGGAAGTAATGCCACGCAAAAACAAAAAAGGAAATAATAATCGTACCTGCATAGCGGCCGCGCCGAGTAAACCCCACGTGAGGAAGACCTCGTTTGAGGCGGCTACCCATGACTTTCCGTTGATGAAGAATTCGCTCCAGACAGTAGCCGGGAAAAGCTGGCTTATCAAACCCGCCGGAGTAAGTCCCAGCAACTTTGTACAAAGGACCAACGTACCGAACACGGGCACCAACGTAAAGACGTATACGACCTTTCCATAAGATCTCAGTCCTAAGTTAAGGGATGGGAAATCAAGTATTTAAAAATCAGAGTCGAATCCAATAATCAATAAGCTTCAAATACCAACTCATAAAAAAGATTAATAAGAGTCAAACGCAAATTATTTTTAAATTCAACGTTTCAGTTCTACAAGCTGGCTGAGATTTCTTTCTTAGTCAACCTGCTGAAGATCCTTTACGGGTTCTAGTTTACTTGAAAATATTGCGGTCAAGATTTTTTTAATATTCACCTTTACTCAGGGAAACAAATACAATCATCCACACGACGGCTAAGTTGAAGGCCACTTGAAACTTTAACGTGACGACGCCAGGTTCGGAATCGTTCAAGTGGTGTCTCTGCAGCACGGCCCCACTGAAGTAATCCGGAACAGTTTCGTGCAATTTGTACGAAGTAGTAGTGTTGTGCGTAGGACGGCTGTCGTCCCGATAGAGAAGAAACGGCTCCGCCCATCGATACCTGTCCTGCTTCGTTATGAACGAATCTCTGCAATCAATACACCGAGTGTTTCGTTCTACTTGATCAACATGTCGTGGCATTAATAAATATCCGATACGCGTATCATTAGGGTACGAAAATGGAGGCTTCAGAAAAAGAGGTAGATGTCAAAACCAAAAGATAAAAAAATGCAAATATGTAATAATAATTTTTATGGTCGATTTTTCATCACTTTTTCCTGATTTCTTTATTCATTTTTTAATTTTAATTTAATTTAATTTTTAATTTTATTTAATCCTATTATTATTATAAATTTATATTATATAATATTATATATGTTATATATACTTCAAGGTGAGCATCGAAATAGTACCTGAAATAAACGAACATCCATGATACACCGACTATACTGTAGATGCCGATGAAGGCCTGTGCGGTGAGCAGAGCTATTCCGACACCTTGAAAAAGTGGCGAAATTCTCCACATATCCACGGAACCAGCCGCCAGTCTTTGCCCAAGACATACTTGTAATGTCAGCAGCGGGATACCCAGTATAAATGATAAAATCAGGAACTGTACAATGAAGTTTGCTGTAAGAAAAATGTAAAAAATCTCATTTTATGCAATAAAATAATTTACATATATCTATATAATAATTGAACCTATATAATAATTAATATATAATAATTAAACATTTTATATATTAACATATAATAATATTATATTATATTAACATATAATAATACTTATATATTTATAATATATTTATATATATTTATTAATATATTGTTATGTTTAATTATATAACAAAAAAATATGATTGTTTATAAATAAGAAACAATTATTCCAAAAAATCTTCACAATTAATTGTTGATCGCTAGTGATAAAATTTTAACAAATAATAAAATGCAATTTAATTCGACCAAAAACTGGCTATTCATTTATTGAAAATAAGTATGAGCCATGTATTTTACATACCGAGAAAAATAGACGAAAAAGAGAGATCGCTGAAATGTTCTACATAAAAAGACAAATAAATAAAATTAATTTACAAATAGACACTGATAACCTTAGTCCTATTTATGACAACATTATTCAAATGATTTAAAAAACATATTACTAGTCTACAGTAGCTAACAGATTGTCGATATGACAGGACAACTTTCATGTTTCTATTTTTAAATAATGTAATTGCTGAATAAGAACAAGTATGAATTACAGATCAAATTTAGTGTTAATGTAATGTTAATTTCGCTTGCTAAATTATGTATTTTTGTATTCTAGCACTTGAAAAGGATCACAATGTGGGTCGAACCGTAGTGTGTACTTATATTTAATAAATGAATAGCCAGTTTTTGGTCGAATTAAATTGCATCTTATTATTTGTTAATTATTCCAAAAATAAAAATTCTAACAATTATGTGGCTAATTGAGTGTCTCTTTGCGAAATCAATTATTACCTCCGCAATTAGCTCCGAAACTAATTATTGGTTTTATTATATGGAAGATACGTCACAACGTGACTTGAGTTATTATCAACAAGTTATTGTAATTATTGATCTTGCCGGTTGATTGTAGAAATTTGCCTCGCAATTTTTTTTACATTCATAGGAGAAATCGACAATTTTGTAGGATTAAAAGATGAATTTCAATTTTTCGTAAATTCTCATTGCCGATATTCTCATACGAGCTTCACTAATAGTCAATAAATGTAGATGTAGAATAGAAAATATGTAAATTTAGAAATAGAAAAAAAGTATATAAAAAATTTTTTAAATATATAAAAAATTGTTTAATAAGCAAAAAAATTTAATAAACAACATAAAAACTGCTAATAAGAGTCAAAGTGCAAACAAAGATTTTTCAATTAAATAAAAAAAATTTCACAAAAAAATAAAAAATGTTTTAAAATGTAAAAATATAGGATCAGAAATTTGATTATGTTGATTTTAGAGTAAAAGCTAAGCGTGATATCAAGAAAAATATCAAATCAAATAAAAAGTTATAGAACTTTAATGGAACTTTAACTTTAATCCTCATTAACACTGTTGTATGATTGACACATGCATACATACATATATGTATATTCTTACCTCCAAACTGTACACTAAGAATGGCAAATCTACTGATATTAAAAAGTCCCAAGGTGCAACTGAGACACGCGAGAGCCGAACTAAGGGTGTGTGGCCACTTCCCGAGAGGATTCTCGTCCTCATCATCATCCTCGTTCCTATTGTCGTTTCGTCTGTCAGCCTCTCTTTGCCTCTCGCATATCCTGGAAGCGAGAAAAAAAATACATATTAATTATTAATATTCAAACATCGATATTTATATTAAATAAAACTGACAGTTCTTGATTTGAAGAAATGCAAATATTATTCTACTTTGTAATTTTAATTCAATGTGCCAGTCCAAAAAAAGTTACTCATTTATTTTAATTTAGTTTTCGAATATTAATTTCTTTTTAATTGACTTTAATTGTTTTTGAAAAAAAAAATTAATTTTTTTAATGATTTTAATTGCCTCTGAAAGAAAAAAATTGTGCAAAGAGAAATTTGCACATTGCTTCCTCACCATATTATTTCGCTAATTAGAATGGTTTTTCAATTGGCTTCCTCATGGAGGAGCTTAATTTGCACATTGCTTGATCACAATTTAATTTCGCTGATATGATTAAGAAAGTTTTTAATTTATGGCAATGTACGAGTTAAGCTTCCTCTGAGGGAGTCATAATTGAAAAACCATCCTAATTAGCAAATTAATACAGCGAGGAAGCAATCTGCAAATTTCCATTTGCACAATTTTTTTCTTTCAGAAACAATTAAATTAATTTTAAAAAAATTAATTTTTTCTTTCAGGGACAATTAAAGCTAAATAGTTCTTGAGATATTTAAATTTAAAAATGAACACATACTACATACACACACACACACACACACATACGGGCATTTTTCAAAAATATAATTTTTTGATGTTTTGGAACATTCGAAATGCATTAATACATTGGCATAAAAATCTGAAAAAAAATTTTTCACAAAAACAAAGTTTCCTCTATGAAAAAGCAAAAGACACGAAAAAGGAGATTTACGATTAGTCTCGACAAATTTATTAATTGCATTACGTCAGAGAAAAGTTGATCGGATAAATAATAATATGCAACAACATGCTTCTCGATTTCCTGATGGAAATTCCTTCTATAAAACTGATGCCAATCTAAGGTCACGTCAATCCACTAATAAAACTAGGTCGAGTGCAACTTTATCGCGTGTATTGTGCCTTACGGAAAAAGTCTTATCGTCGTCTGCGCTCGTATATAAATGTATCGGTCCGATCAATCAACAAGACAGATTATAACCAAAGCTTAAATTCTTTAAGACAAGAGATACCCGTATAAAGGATTCGTCCTTCCGAGAAAAAGTATCATCGACACCTCCATTAAAATTGGCAGGAGCGAAAAACTGTATCTTCCAATTTCTTCTTTTTCTTCTTCTTCTACAATTTTAATTATAACTCCCTAATAACTAGAAATGATCTAATCTTGCTGGTCAAAAATATCTTCTTAAGATCAAGTGCTGGACCTGATTTGCACTCAAAAATAGGAGTCACTTCAACAGAAGACACGCGTTTTGACACGTTTATACTTGTCCAAGGATGACAATAGACTTTTGTATCTCCCATATAATTTGTTGTAGCGAATATAGATAAACGAACGATAAACAGACACCAATTCCTATTCCTCCATCCTATTTTAAGAGGGGGAAAGTATATAATTATTCCAATGGAGTGTCTAAATTACAAATGACATCAGACACATCCCATAAATCGCGCGATAACAGATCCAAGTGGTTAGTAAAAAAGTGTTTATACAATGAAAATTAATCTGTTTTATGCAAGCTATCATATGCAATAAAAAAATTTGGGAAGAAAATGTTTTATAAAAAAAATTTGTCACCTTGAATATTTTAAATAGAACTACCATATTTTTATTTTATAAAAATCGAATCTTAACAACATTCTGCATAAAAAGTTATAAGAGTAAGATAATTAAAAAGAATAGTTTATACTTTAATTAAAAAACATTTTATATTTTAATTTCACGTAAACTATAAAATATCTCGTAAATTATTCATTTTACGATAATCTTATCTCGATGCTTTTATGCAGAAAATAATGACGAGAATTAAGAAAAAATATGCAGCTAATTGTAAATTACATTTTTTCTTAAAAACATTTCCTTGTTTTCTTTACATCAATTAATTTCTTACATTATTTTGCGCATAAAAGTATTGAGATAAAATTATCAAAAAATAAATATTTCATAACTTTATACAAAATTATGTCAAATTAAAGCATAAAATATAAAATATCTCGTCACACTTTTTGACCATCCTACCCTTATAACTTTTTATGCAAAATATTGAGAGGAATAAATTTATATAAAAAACTATGATAGTGCCGTTTAAAAAATCAATGTGTGACATTGATTTTTTAATGAAAATTTTTTCAAGTTTTTTTATTTTACGCGCGCGTGATAGGTTATATAAAACAGATTATTATTCACTATACAAACTTTTTGTAAACTGTCGGTAATCTAAAAAATCGTGCAAATCGTTGCGCTAATTATGCTAATAAATATTAATTGTTTCATGATTATTAATTAAAATTAATATTAATTTTGAGGCAAAAGCGAGATTTAACAAATGTTGTTTATGGATTATTTTCTTTTTCATCTTTCCACGAAGCATACCTATAACATCGCAATAAATTTGTCTGATTAAAATATCGACACATAAATTATTGTCATATGCTATTTATTACATAATGACATTCAAATGTAATTTTGAAAATTCTTATTATTCATCAACCACATATTTGAAAGGTGCACGTGTCATTAATTGCTTTGCGCGATATCACGTATTCACGTCAATTCGGGCATGAATAATAAAGAGACGAATATATATATATAACTCCCACACTAATAATCTGTATTACATAGTTTGCATAACACAGATAGAACGGGATACGATCTTATCGATCAATTATATACTATGTACTGTGTGCTATTAAATTGATGTATGTATATAGGATATTATTATTATCTCGAGAACTCTATGCAAATTGATACGTCTCCTTGTGCGATACAGACGCGGAAGATTAAATAATATTACTACAAGTATAATATCCTTAAATTATTATCTCTCAAGACATGACTTATTCTTTCTCAATAATCGTTTCTATAAATTTAAATACAAATAGCTTTTAGGCGAGTAATAATCCATTAAAAACCTGATGATTTAGCATTTTCAATATTTACATTCCATTCGACTGCAGATACTTTTTTAAGGAAGTTTAACTTTGACAGGAAAAGGTCAGTTGTTAATGTTAATCAATTCTCGACGTAAAAAAAAATAATTTATATAGTATAGTAAAATTAAAGAGATCCTAGCTAAACGCGTGTTTTATCGATAAAACAATTTTGCGCACCGTTTTCTTTTTATTTTGTGGTTGAATAGAATAATAAATATTTTCCACGATTAAAGTATATATAAAAACAAAGCGCGAACATACCGATTTTACGTTAAGAAAAAAAAGTTTTAATGTTTAATTTAAAATTTTTTTATTTTTAACATAAATTGCGATATCTTTTAGAAGACAATTATTAATTCGCATTACGAGAGTCACGTCTGCCTTTTTCGAACATGTGAAAAAAAAATATGGGTGCCCTATTACAATTATTGTATTAATTTGTTTTTATTATTGTTTATTGTATCATTTAAATTGTGAAATTATTATTACAGTGTTCATTTGATAAGGACCTAAACCAAAGGTCGAAACGTTATGAGGAAGATTTAATAAATTAACATTTTTGCCCAGTTTGGTCGTTTAAAAAAATTTTTTCAGACTTTTATTCTTGTGCTTACAATGATTATTGTTAGAATGGAGCCCGGATATTTCTCCTCCTTGCACATTTTTGCGATGGACGTCACACGTGCACGCGAGTCGTTCGGAAGGTCGTTTCAGAACACCCTCGAAATATCAAGAGGTGGCGCGATCGATAAACCGACCAGCACCTCCTCGTGGTCACCGCGAAATGACCGCGAACCCCCGTTTGCGATACAATTCGTGATTAGGCGCACGCGAATTAACCGCAGCCTCTCTCTCTCTCTCTTTTTGGTTTTACGGATTTGCGAGCCTGGTTCGGTCAGTCCTGATCGGTCGATCGAAGGTTGGTCACGTCACACGATGAAAATATTCAGTTTAAAAACGATTTAAACGAATTTTGACAACGGGCGAATATTCGGAAAAATTCATGAAAATCACTGACGAATCGAACTGATAAAGAAAAAAAATACAGCGGAATATATATGTAATTAAACTGCGCGTGTTCTATTTTTTTCGATTTAATTTTGCGATTTACATAAGTCAAATTATTAAGAGATAATATGCGATGATATAATTATGTATAAATATGTTTCTTTCATTAATAATTCACAATATAGAAGTATTGTGTAATGAAAAGAATTTCATTATACAACTACAATTTGTAAACTTGTACAATTTGTAAACTTGTTTCATTATAATACCAGGCTTGACTCGTAAATTTTTTATGATTATTTTTGTTTGAGAAAATGGAGAGAGAAAGATTACGTGAATCTTTATTTCTTTACTTAGCAACATTACTAACTTATTTGAAGAAATGTTTTTTAATTTGTAGTAATCAGCTAACTTTGACATCCATAATACGGGAAAGTAGATTTTAGATTTTGGACTATGATTTTTCTTGCTAAATTGTCTATTAATATGCAGAATTAATGAAGTATAAATTTAGATATCCAAAAAATATAATAAAAGACTTTTTTAATTTTAAAAAGAAAAAATTAAGGAAAAAAATTATAAATTATATTGTTTTTTCGCATCAGTGTTTTGCGCGTTATTTTTATAAAATAAGCTATATATATATATATATATATATATATATATATATATATATATATAATCACGTGTGTAAACTTTATTAATGTGTTTAATGAAAGATAACTAACCATGTCATGTTATTTATAGAATTATATATTCATTATATATAATCAGGAAAACGCTTTTATATGACTGTTATTAACATAAACATCGGAGATAAAATTAGCATAAACAATTCTTCCAATCTGAAGGAAAAAATATGCGCAGGCAAATTAGTTTTTGTTCAATCTCATAATTGTTTGATTAATCTGTGAAAGTAATACTTGATAATTCTGCGAGGAAAAAACTCGAGACGTGAAT